ACTACTTTCCTCGAGGACGAGAACGACCCCACGTGCAAGCGCAACGCTTTCGCTGCTCTCGTTTCTGTTAGCCACGAGAAGGCATTAGAGTACCTTAGCACTGTCTTTGACTCCATACCAAACCACGAAGAACTCCTCCTCCTTGCAGAGCTCGAGTTCATTCGCAAAGACGCTATGGTGAACCCACAGAACAAGGCGCGGTACCTGCGACTGATCTTCGACCTCCTCGAATCACAAGTCTCCACCGTCATTTACGAATCCGCACACGCCCTCACGACCCTTACAAGCAATCCAGTCGCCGTAAAGGCTGCTGCGGGAAAGTTTGTCGAACTGGCGATAAAGGAGCCCGACAACAACGTCAAGCTCATCGTTCTGGAGCGCGTCGATCAACTACGGCACAAACACGAGGGGGTACTCGATGACTTGACAATGGAAGTGCTCCGCGTTCTCTCAAGCACAGATCTGGATGTGCGGAAGAAGGCGCTGAAGATTGCTATGGAGATGATCTCTAGCAGGAATGTGGAAGAGGTTGTGCTCCTGCTGAAGAAAGAGCTCATGAAGACAGTCGACGAACAGTACGAGAAGAACCCGGAATATAGGTCCCTTCTCATCTCATCGATACACTCGGCGGCAATCAAGTTCCCTGAGGTTGCGGCTAGTGTGGTTGGATCGCTCATGGACTTCATCTCGGACGTCAGCAGCAACGCCTCAGCAGTCGATGTCATCTCCTTTGTCAAGGAAGTTGTCGAACGGTTCCCTGACCTGCGGGCCTCCATTATCGAGCGTTTGGTGTCGACACTTGGAGAAGTTCGTGCCGGAAAGGTATATCGTGGAGTTTTGTGGATCATTGGCGAGTATTCTCTGGAGGCAAAGGACATTCGGGACGCCTGGAAAGGTATCCGGTCATCCCTTGGCGAAATCCCTATCTTGGCATCTGAGCAAAGATTATTGGACGATGCATCAGAGGGCAGAGAAGACCACGACCAAGTCAACGGACATGCGAAGTCGACAGCAGCTCCTACTGGATCGAGGAAGGTTCTCGCAGACGGCACGTACGCAACGGAGAGTGCGCTCACATCATCGGCCGCGGCCAAGGCGAAGCTGGAAGCAGTCAAGAACTCGCAAAAGCCGCCGCTACGCCAACTTGTTCTTGACGGCGACTATTACCTCGCGACAGTGCTCTCCAGCACTCTAACAAAACTCGTCATGCGGCACTCGGAACTCTCAGAGGATGCAGCTCGTACAAACGCACTTCGCGCCGAGGCCATGCTTATCATGATTTCAATTATCCGCGTTGGTCAATCTCAATTTGTCAAGACTTTTATAGATGAGGACTCGATCGACCGCATCATGTCCTGTGTTCGGTCACTATCCGAGTTTTCGCAAAGGAAAGAACTGGAGACTGTCTTCTTGGAGGACACACGAAAGTCTTTTGCTGCAATGGTACAGACTGAAGAGAAGAAGCGAATAGCGAAGGAGGCCTCCGAAAGGGCAAAGTCGGCTGTCAATGTCGACGACTCGTTCAACATTCGCCAGCTCAAGAAGAAGGATGCAGACGGCAGCGACGAGATTGAACAGGATCTGGAGAGAGCAACCGGAGGCGACACTGCAACTGAGGATCTGACCTCGAAGCTCAGCCGTGTTGTACAACTGACTGGATTCTCCGACTCTGTATACGCCGAAGCGTATGTCAAGGTCCACCAGTTCGATATCGTCCTCGACGTTTTGCTCGTTAACCAAACGACCGAAACACTGCAGAACCTCACAGTCGAGTTTGCGACGCTCGGTGATCTCAAGGTTGTTGAGCGACCGCCCACACAGAACGTCGGCCCCCACGACTTCATCAACATCCAAGCGACCATCAAGGTATCGTCGACCGACACTGGTGTTATCTTTGGCAACATTCTGTACGAGGGCGAGAAAGGCGTCGACTCAAACGTTGTCATTTTGAACGATGTACACGTCGATATTATGGACTACATCAAGCCGGCGCAATGCACAGAAACACAGTTCCGGACGATGTGGACCGAGTTCGAGTGGGAGAACAAGGTCAATATCAACTCAAAGGCCAAGACTCTGCGCGACTTTTTGAAGCAGCTGATGGCGTCGACAAACATGAGCTGCCTCACTCCAGAGGCTTCAATGAAGGGCGACTGCCAGTTCCTGTCGGCCAATCTATACGCTAGGAGCGTATTTGGTAAGTCCAAAACTTGCATGGTACCTGTCTTGACTAACGCGACTCAGGTGAGGATGCTCTCGCGAATCTGAGCATAGAAAAGGAAGGTGACAACGGCCCCATCACCGGTTTCGTTCGTATTCGAAGTCGGTCACAAGGGTTGGCATTGAGCCTCGGATCACTAAAGGGTCTTAACAAGGTTGGGGTGGCATAAGGCGGGGTATCGATCGCGTGAGGGCATCATTTTGCAATGGCAACAGTCTTTAGAATAGCGTACGCAAGATCAAGGTTGAAGCTGCATTGCCGGTTGGTGGCATGTCGAGCTTTTGATGTTCTTGGGACGAAAAGTCATGGGACAGGCGGAAGGTCTTGTAGCACTGGAGTAGTCGTGAATGAAGTTCAGAATTATCATCATCGTGCGCTGTCACCCCATGTTGTCTATAGTGCAGTGTGATGTGATGAGTTGCACATGGACATGGATGCCTCGGCTCGTGAGGGGCGCAAGGGCCCAAACGGCGTTGTTTCCATTTCTGTAGCATCCGTAAGCATCCGCGACTGGTACCTGTGACAGCAAGCATCTCACCATATCTCGCCGCTCGGTCTTGTTTGCTGTCTCGTACTATCATTATGCTTGCGACGGCGCCGCAACATCTGCAATAACCATGGCCTCGACCGCTGGCGATGACGATCCTTTTAGGGACCCTTCTGCCACTCCGCAACCTCCGCGCCACAACATCGACGTACCGGACACGCTCGTCGTCGGCCGCAACGCCTCGTTGACCCTGGGAACCGACTCTCTTGTACTCTTGGGTGTGTACTCCAGGTGTACATTGGAGCACGCGCTAATGTGCTACAGACGAAGACCTGCTGGACAGCAAAGGCGCCGGTTGTTGCGGCGTCTCACTTCCTGGCAGTAAGCGTGGAAGCCTGCTTGAACCGTCTGTCACTCACAGAAGCAGAGGACAACCCTACTCGCGCCATCCCCTTCTACAACATTCTCTGGGCCGAACACTCGGAAGATGGCAATGTCACCATCCAGTATGCGCAAACCGCCGCAAAGAAAGCTGTCCGACCCGCCATCATTAGCTACACGCTAGACAAGCCAGATAGCCGGCTGGCAGAAGCATGGATTGCGAAGCTACTAGACCGCGCGTATGGCACATCTCAACGGCAGAAGCGCATAAAGGTGCTCATCAACCCCTTTGGAGGGCAAAAGGGCGCCATGAAGATATACCACAAGTCCATCGCTCCGATCCTCGCTGCAGCGCGATGCGAGTTGGATGTGCAGAAGACAGAATATCAGGGCCATGGCGTGGACATTGCAAAGGATCTGGACATTGAAGCGTACGATGTTGTCGCATGCTGCTCAGGGGATGGAATACCACACGAGGTTTGGAATGGACTCGGCAAGCGATCGGATGCTGCGAGAGCCCTGAACAAGATGGCTGTCGCACAGCTACCATGTGGCTCGGGGAACGCTGCAAGTCTCAACTTCAACGGAACGGATAATCCCAGCCTCGCAGCGCTCGCCGTAGTCAAAGGTCTACGAACGCCTCTAGACCTTGCTTCAGTATCCCAAGGCGACCGTCGCATGCTTTCCTTCCTCTCGCAGTCCGTGGGCATCGTGGCCGAGACGGACCTCGCGACCGAGCATTTACGCTGGATGGGAAGCGCACGTTTTGATATTGGATTCTTGGTGCGCCTCCTTGGCAAGACCGTGTATCCAGCCGACATTGCCGTCAAAGTTGAGTACGACAACAAAGCAGCCGTACGAGAAGCATACCAGACAGAGGCAGCGAAACCGCCTCGCAGCGTAGACGACCGACCACTGCCCACCACAGACGCGGGCCTACCGGACCTCAAATACGGAACTATCAACGACCCCCTACCTGCAGGTTGGGAGCTCATACCCCACGACCAGCTCGGCAACTTCTACGCCGGCAACATCGCCTACATGTCGCCCAACGCAAATTTCTTCCCTGCATCGCTTCCCTCGGACGGATGCATTGATCTCGTCCGCATCCGAGGTGACATTTCCCGTGTAACTGCTATTCAAACGCTACTATCGATTGAAAAACACACTTTCTTTGACTTGCCGCATGTCGATTACCAGAAGATTAGCGCGTACCGCATTATACCCAAGAACCAAAAGGACGGATACATCAGCATCGACGGCGAGAGAGTGCCGTTTGAGGGCTTTCAGGTCGAGGTGCACAAGGGGTTGGGGACGGTGTTGAGTAAGAGCGGGCATATGTGCGAGGCGAGGGGCGTGTAGGATCGCATTGAAGTGAGAGGTGGAATCGAGGGTGATGAGGGTCTCTGGCTGAATTTCTCGCGTCGCTGGCGTTGTTGATCTGGGATACCACTTTTGAGACATTTTGTAAATTGCATCGCGAGTTTGATGTAGGATGAAGAACATACTTTCACCTCTGCTATTATTTCCTGTTGATGCGACAAGTGGTGTTTTCATCGTAGAGCGTTAATTCTCGTGTCCTGTATGCGTAGAGCCGATCTGACGTTGCAAACCCACTTCTCGCATTGTTCATAAGAATAGATTACACACATCTCTCGTTCCTACTCATTCAGAGTTCTCGAACGACAGACAATTCTTGTGGTAGTACTGAAGTTGTACCACGAACCCCTGATGACTCACCCACCCCCTATCAGAAAATTTTCTTCCTTTCGCCCCCTCATACTCCACCCTCCCGTTCGTCCGCTTATCCAAGCTTACAGTCCTTTTCCAAGCGCTCTTGTCCTTCAGCCTCCAAATTCTCACCAATATATACCTCTCAAGCCGCAGATCTTCCATCAATCAAACAACAACAGCTGCTTGGCGCAGCGGAAGCGCGCCGGGCTCATAGTCGTCGAAAGACTCATCTAAGTGCACCCGGAGGTCTCAAGATCGAAACTTGAAGCAGCTACATTTACTTTTTGCCTTTTCTTCTTTTTGCTTTGGTGTAATTCGGGGGAGGTGAGATCCGATGCTCCGGGGAAAGAGGAGGAGGGGTATTTATACACAATCGTCTTCATTGATCTATCATTATCCATCTTCCCCATATTTTCATGCACCTCTCCCACTGGGGAGTTCTACCGGATCTGAGGGCTGCGCCATTTCTACAGGCCCGGGCGAGACGTGCTGGTATGTGTGTTGCGGCGTGTATTTTTCGTATACCGGCGCTTCGTGTACCGGCGGGGAATAAGAGGATGAAGTAGCCATTTCTTTGTACCTGCGAGCGCGCAGGGCGAAGAAAATGGCGGCAGCGAGGAGAGCGATGCCTGCGAGTGCGCCGATGACTATGCCTGCTATTGCGCCGCCTCCTAGACTCGATTGTGCCGCCGGTGTGGGGAGGAGGGATGCCGCGCTATTTGTGCCTGTTGGTGAAGCGGATGAGGCTGGGGAAGTTGCTAGGGTATTGGTTTGCGAGCTCATGATGCTTGCGGAGATGGCGCCGCGGAATTTCTGGGGCAGCGTGAAGCGCCCGACGCCGCTTGAGCAGCAATCTTTATTGTTGGCGCCGCAGCACCATTCTTCGCTGTCTGCTTTGCCGCTACATGCGGTCAATGCTGCGTTTCCTGCTGGACCGCGGGGGTAGCATATGCTGAGGCAGTTTGGGCCTAGGAAGTTGCTGTCCGCGCAGAAGTTTGTAAAAAATCTGGAGATTCGATGTCAGGATGCGTTACACAATTTCGCGATCCGACTCACTCTATTGTTTCCGTTCCATTCTTCATGTAGCGGTTCTGACACAGTCCGTTCGGCAAGCATTCGTCTTGCACGTTGCCCTTTGCTGGGTCGCCGCCTGGAGGAACGCTGCGGTTCAAAGCGCAGCATGTTGTTGATGGGCCGTTGAATGTGCATGGCCTGAACATGTCGTACCATGTTGGATCCTTGGGGAGCGGGTTGCCATTCGCGAGATAGCATGTGCCGGATTGCGCGTGGATTTGCTGTGCGAAGAAGACGACACAGGAGCCGAAGAGAAAGGATCGCATGGTGATAAGGAGAATGTGTATAAAAGAGATTCAATGCTGGAAGAGCCCCGGATGGGATCTCTCCTTATATGCCACACCAACGACAACGTCCGGTAACGAAGGATGAGACACGAACCCATCGAAACTCAGTCTACTAGATGCGCACTCCTTGATCTAGCCATCTCATGAAGCGACGCGGCGCTATCCACCGTCATTCTGGGGGCCGATATGTGGGGTCGCGATTCGTTCCTCGGTGACATGATCGTGAAACAGTTAGCATCAACTGGGCGTTGCGGCGCAGTGTTGGGCGCCTTACGCCTCGCTTTCCCAATCGGAACTGCGGGTTGGTAAAACCAATCATTAGAGTTTCGGGCAAGTTGGATGCGATGAAACTGAGGCTCTGTGCACATGCAAGTCTGGTTGCTTGCAGACCTGTATTTCGCCAATTTGGCGTGGAGAAAGAGAAGAGTGCACGGTTGGACGAAAGCAAATTTCGTGGTAATGGCAGCCGTAGATATACATCTCTACTTTCGCAAGATTGAGATCAAATAATTCGAGGCTCTGCGTGCAATTTGGCCTAGATGTGTTCATCTGTCTCTGGTTGTGAGCTGGTTGCGTCTCACCTGCGCACTGAGGCAGCTAACGGCGATTTGTGGAGACGGCAGGTTTCATGGCCAGCCTTGCGTCGGCGGTATGAATACTAGTCTAGGGCGTCATAATTATGGCCAGCGCACGGTGTATGAGAAGTGTGGTAAGGTTGGTTTGTGTCTATTTCTAGGTGTGGACGGAGCCGTCGTGGTGGGGCAACAACCCCACGTGCGAATTCCTGGTGGGCGATCGTTCGTGACACTGGTCGTCTTCCCGACTGAGTAGCTCCAATTACATTTAATGTCTACAAAGAAGATGTCTCCGGGTTGGATGAGGCCTTGATGCGTTCCAAAGCTCTTTCCCATAACAGAAGCCGACAGGCAAGTGCTTGTAAGTCTCGAGATTACCACAGAAGCGGCTCCACATCTTCTGCGCTTACTTCTGCGTTCAGTGAGGCAAGAAGAATATAATTGACGAAAGAGCTATTTGTATTTTTTCGCAATATGATCAGGTTCCCATCTCTTACGTCGCAAACAATTACAAAGACCATTCTTATTTCTTCGACAGAGGCGGTGGAGGATGACGATAGATGAGCCTCCTATATTTGAAAGCGAGGGGCTTGAATCGTGACTGTTCGACAGAAACAGTCCTACCGCCTGCCTTATTTGTATTCATATTGAAATGTCGTTAACCCATCTGCTATCAAGAGGAGAGAGCTACGTTAATCAGAGGGATTTCCTGAGAACTCATCTGCTTCGAACCTTTGCCCGATGACAGTGGCTTGCCTTGTAGGAAGTTTCGCTTTCGGAGCCATCGCAGGAACATCAGTTCTGAACTTAGGCCGCAAGGGAAGTGCATGTAAGGCGCTTCATGAAGAAATTTGTAACAAGGCTGAGGAGCTGAAGATGGTTCTTATTGATGCGCCCGACTTAGTATGGATCGACTCGTGTGTGTATCAGAGCACTCATTCGGCTAGAATCTCATTGGTCTGCTGTCCAAGCCATCGACGTGGCGTGCAGGAATGGATCCTCAAAAGTACGTTAGCATCCTTTTGGCATACATTGACCTGTCTATTGGCCTGTTATATTCAGCCGTCGTAGTCTTCCGTCTGCGGGCGTCCAGTATGTCAACCAACTCCGTTTACGCGGCGTGAACTCCTCCGAGACTGATATTCATCCTCGCAAGCCTCCCTAGCTTCTCGGCTCAATCACCTCCTAACTTCATTCGTAACCAACAATGGCGTACAAGCCGTATGACCTCAAAAGCTCATGGCGCCCTTGTCTGCTTCTGTTCCCACCCGAAAGCAGATGTCTTACAGCGTTGAACCGGCTAACACGATGGGTGAGCCAAGCAGTAGCCAGTTTGAAAGACTTGAAATGCGCGTGGATCGTATCGAAAGCGCTCTGAACAGTATACTCGAGCACTTACGCTTACCAGTGTTTGATCGTACCGAGGGACCTGCACGAGGTGGAGAGAAGGAGACTGGAATGCAAGGCAGCAAAGGATCAAACGGGATAAACCATACCATCATGCAACACTCTCTTCCGAACACCACAGCCGAGTCAGCTGTTGATCACCAGTTCACGTATGCTCCGCTCGATACCACTAAGTCGCAATTTCGAATTCTGCGAGTCCGTCGTGCCGAAGAAATTTCAGACCCGCTAATTGCAGAGCTTACCACGGTCGGCTTGGATGATAACACCGTCGCACGTCTTATGTACGGCTTTACAGCATTATCATACACCTGGGGACCGCCAGTGTTTGATGGCTCCATCTTGTTAGACGGATGCAAGTTCCCAATTACCAAAAGTCTGGAAGCAGCACTGCGGCAATTGCGGTTTGAGTACAAGGACAATGCGGCGATTGAGATCAACGGCCGCATCTGGGGCCAAGAGGTGTATATCTGTGTGGACCAAATCTGTGAGTTCAAGCCTAGAACAGTTTGTCTTCAAATGCCTGACAAACGCGCGTGAAGGCATCAACCAGTCCGATATCGACGAACGAAGCGACCAGGTCTCACTGATGCGCCGCATCTACAAACGTGCGTCATCGGTTCAAGTTTGGCTTGGTGAGGAAGCCAACGACAGCTCCCTTGCAATTGATCTTTTGAGCAGCCTAGGTGCACCTCCAAAGCATGCGCCTGGCGAGAGGAGCATCGAATACCCAAGTTTCACCGAAGAAGCAATTATGCGGCATTGGAACGCTCTGAGGGCTTTCTTCAAACGCCCTTGGTGGGAACGCGTCTGGATCAGGTCAGTAATTTGTTTGCGAACTGAGTATCAGACAATGACTAACATCGTGCCTGTATCTATACAGGCAGGAGATCGCTCTCTCCACGCTCATCAAGCTGTACTGCGGGAGCAAGAGCTTTGATATGAATAAACTAGACCCTGCTCTATTTATGTTGTCGCACATCGCCTCACTTGGCTACGCGAACACCCTTTCTCACACTGACGACGATTCCACGGTCTCTCTACCATGGGATTTTCATCCCAAGATGTTGGTTGAGCTGAGAAAACGAACTAGCAACGGGCAGTCCTAGGTTGGCCTTGCACAGCTGTTACGTATGACGCGATCTTGCAAAGCGACTGATGCCCGCGATACCGTCTTTTCAGTCTTGGAGCTGGCGGATTCTGACGTGTACCGCATCAATCCGAACTACCGCCAAGAGCTGAACGAGGTTCTTTTGAGTGCCGTACAAGCCGTCATTAGTGTAGAACACGGTCTTGATGTTCTCGGTGTATGTCAAAATCCTGAGAAGAAGTTTGGCCTGCCGTCATGGATGCCGTTTCTCATGGATAAATGGAAGACCATGCCATTCAAGACGACGAATTCTCGAGCACAAAGGTTCATGCCTCGCCTCACAAAAGCTGAGGTGCCCAATGTCAGGATCAACGGCAACTTTCTTGAGCTTCAAGGTGATCATGTGGATACGGTCCAGTCCATTTGCACCTCATATGTCAGCAACAACGCAAATGCGGAGGCATTGGAGTTCGTGTATGCGAACTGGAGAAGATTCGCCAACGATGTCGCTTCCCGCCGCCTGTTGGCAAAAGAAGATTATTACACGCTGGTGTCTGGTGCGGACGCTGAATTAGCCAGACAATGGATTCGATTCCTGACAGTCTTGGTTGACGAAGCACAGGATCTTGACACCCGGTACTCGCAATCGAGTGGCACCAAGGACGCCGGACCTGATGCGTTCCTGGACGACCCCGCAACTGGAGGAATGTATCGTCACATGGGCCTCAATCCCAGGCTCTCACGATGCCATTTACTCCCACCATCGTACTTGACAGCAAGTGCCCACCCAAACCATAGAATTCATGCAGGTCTCCAAGCGTACGGCGTTGGTCGTCGGCTGTGT